ATATAGAGAGAGAGAGAGAGAGAGAGAGAGAGAGAGACTCAAAACAACAACGAAGCCTCTGGAAAAACTGGCCAAGCGAAAAGCAAGTGATTCCTTGGAAGTGCACTGTGGCCTATCTGACAGCTGTAGTGACCCATTATGGTCATTTGATCGACGGAAATCTGGTCACACGCTTTATCGGACCGCGAGATTGGTGATGGTGCGCAAATAGAGTTGATGAATGGAATCTGTTGGTCAGCCTGCCTAATAGCAGAGAGTGTGCAAAACGTCTACGCATGTACACTTGTTTGGCTTAAGTCAGTGAATCTCACCCGCCTACGCCCTTCGAACTATTTGCTTTCTGGTTTTGTGTGGTACTGAAAACCTCATGTACTGGCTGATGTAAAGCTAAAATCTGATGTTGCTTCGATGCGAGGTAGTTAGCCTGTAGGATACATTTTCCGTGATTTGCGGCTTCCTAAGTGTCCCAGTATTCAGAGAGGTTTGGCAAACAATCATTTGTTGTTTATCAAACCTCTGTGAAACGATGACTGCCCAATCAGTCCCAAACATTTTCCAATTCATTGTCTCAGTACTGTTTCAGTCCGGTCCTTGCCAACTTGAGGCTAGCGGGTTACAGTCAAAAGACAAGGATGCGGCCAGAAAAAACTGTGTAATAAAGCAAACAGCGTTTTATTTATATTCACTTGTGACCATACTTGTTGGCCGATCTGTTCTCAACCAACCAGTTTGTCTCCTGCACGCCCACACCGGTTCGTTGTCACGGTTAGTCATATATGGTCGTCTGTGCGCTTGAGTACGGGTTGCACATGTTTCCTTAGACATCGGGTGGGCGTGATATGCATGTGTCCCTTTTTGACCTTTCTCCGGCACATGATGAAATCGGACGTAATTCAGATGTGTGGGCATACTTGCACGGCACTGTTCTGCTGTGCAGTAGGCTGACGCGCGGCCGTATTAGTTTCAAAATCAGATATTTGAGCCTCCGAAATCTACGTGATTTGCGATTGACTAACTAGTTGCCCTAATTTCGCCGGGTCAATTGCCGAGAATCATTTTTCTCAGACAAACGAAATTCGGCACGCGAGTAGAAAGACACAATGTAGTCATTTCCAGTTTCCGAAATCTCCAGAGTTCTAAGCTGAAAAATAATGGGAAAATGGATTGAGTTTTCCAGAAATTTCGCTTGTCTTGCGCACATAACCAGCACTTCTCCCGTGCTGGATGTACAATGGTTGAAATTGTTATTATTTTTATTATTATTAATTTGCCAAATCTGAGTACAGTCTGCACATTCGAGCAACTTTGGCAAATTTTTAGAACCCGGAATGTTGGAATGCTGTTTTCTGCTCGTCAGTGGGGTTCAGTGTACCTTCCACTAGCTTGGACGTAGTCATAAAATTGATGACCACACCGTTCTAATCACGAGTTGCGGATGTTACTGGGATCAAACTGTGCCTGAAGTGCGCGTGGGGTTTGTCCGCGATATCTAGTTACTTTCCAGCTCTCAGACCGTCATCCGTCCACTGTTTGAATGCTGGATTGTGGTTTGCCTTGCCTGTTTTCGATTGGTTCACTTAAACAGTCTCATTCTGTTGGATTAATCTGGTTAGTATGCCCACGACTTGTTTTGCGTTGTGGTCTGTCTTCCTCAACTTGATTGGTTCTTCCAGTATCTTCTCTTTAATGGCTTTCCGTGTTTTTATCGATCCGTTCGTAGTTTGAACTGATTTGCCGCTCGATTGTCTTGTGTATAGTCGCGCTTCCGCGTCTTTTTTTCATAGCCGCAGGTTTTTGCTCGGTTAATCACCTGCCTTTCTTTGTTCAGTTTGTTTCCCTCTTTTTATGGTTCGAGTCATATTTCAGTCGAACTGACCTATCCGCCAGATTCGACGCATCTACCTCAACAAGTTTCTTCCTCGGATTGTCTTGTACTTCTGAGCTTTGTATGTGTAAAGTTTGCCTGTCCTCAAAAGTTGCTAGATTGGGCCATTTTCAGTGTTTGTTGCTGGGGCGATGGTTCAGTTGTTAGGGGCCAAACTCAATGAAATTGGAAAAGTAATCAATGGATTACTTGTTGGATGACATTTCGCCTCGCACAGAGTTGTTCCGTTAGGCCAAAATGTGGGTCGAGTTTGACATTAGCCGTAAAACAAGCCCGCGGTATTTTTCTCACGGTCGGTCTTATGGGCATTGGGTGTCACATACATTTTTGTCGGTTGGCGTGGTTGAATACTGTCGATGGGTCGCTTTGGAAAAATCGCATTGTTCCATATTGTGGTCAGCGGACCTTGTTGTTTTCTTTTACTCTACTTCCCTTCTTGATCTATCCCGACTGCAGGGATCACAAAGGTCTAAACCAGGACGACCACTCTTTGCTTGACAATATTTGTCGCCAGATTTGCAAGGAGAATCAACCATTCGAGAGGTTGGAAATGTCAAAGGAGGATCTTTTAGAAATGTTTGCTTACAACGAGTTCAAGTGTCGAATCATTCGGAACAAGATCACCACGCCGACCACAACCGTCTATCGATGTGGACCGTTGATTGACTTGTGCCGCGGTCCACATGTACGACATACAGGTTGCATCAAAGCAATGATGGTCACGAAAAGCAGTTCCGCCTACTGGGAAGGTCGTGCGGATGCGGAAACCTTACAACGTGTCTATGGCATTTCTTTCCCCGATCCGAAACGGCTAAAGGAGTGGAAACATTTCCAGGTGAGTCTCCCGTCATGTGTACCATCGTCCGTTTGTCAGTAACGCTGGTTACTTAATAGGTCGCCAGTTTGAAGTCATATCTGTGGTGTTGACTGAAGTGGTCTGTTTCAGGGTACAGTCGTATTGCAGTTATTCCCCCCCACCAAATCTGGGGAATGATTGGTGAACTTAGGCCATGCGGAAGAGACTTGTTATCCGACAGCCATCGATCTGCATACTTTAAATTAGTTGGTCGGGATTGACCCTCTGTTTCGGTCCGCTGCTCTTAAATTTCAAATTCATGCTCTGTGATTTTCAACCATTTGGGTCCCTATTGAACCTGAAATCGAAGAACTTGGGTTTATTGATAGGTTTATCTATCTCGCAGCTGAAAAAGTGGAAGTCAAAACACGCAAATATCAAAGCGGAGTCAATGTCCCCAAACTTGCATCATTTATGACGTCAGTAACGGAGTTAGTCGGAGCTTAATAGCCCTGTACACAAGAAAGATTCAAGGTCAGCTGTTGCGGAACTTGTCCCCTCTGTTTAGAAGTTGTTAAATACTATCAAACATTCTGGCTCCGATGCCTAGGTGACATCGCGAAAGGTAACTGGCTGCAGCCCGTGAGGATCGAAATGATGCATAAGCAACTATTTGGTGGCCAATCAGATTTGCTCCTCATCATTGTCAGCTGTAAGAACCGCCTACTTATCGTACAGCGCTTGTAGCTGCCACAGTTCCGTCTACCGATGATTCGGGGAGGCGGGGTAGGTAGCCGCGCATCGGAGGTTGGAGCTGACAAATTGTGCGTAAATACAGGCTCGTCAGTGCACTTTTATGGGGGGAATTGGAAGGGAGCTATGCATTGAAGGCAATAGCCTGGATGCACAGTATTTATTGAGAGTGTGACTGGACCATGTGTGACAATGTCTTTAACGATTGATGTGTCTCGTCTATAGGTCCCCATCCAGGGGGACGGCAATGACCAGCGCAGCTGGAGCAGCCAGTTAGGCTAAGCATCTGGCCATGATTGAGGTACGTATGGGTAATATCCCACAACTATCCGTCGATCAAATTACCGTTCCAAATGATTTCTGTAAAAATGTCCGTTAGAAGATTGATCTTGCTTTGTTAGGTGATATATAAACAGCTACACCCCAGCTGGGTGTCGTGAGTCATTCACACCTTCTTGATCGGGCTCACTCGAGTCCACTCGCACGCTGTCAGAAACCCTACAGGACATTGCACTTAAGTGCTCTCAGTCGTCATTTCCTATTCGGAATGTGTAGCGGTTCCTTCTGGATCATTGTTCGCCGAGATTGTGTTGGACAATGTCCACGAAATATTCCAGGTCATCCCATCCCACGACGTTTTATAGCTATCTGGTACTAATTTCATCGTTTCTGAAAGGTCAAGCACGTGATCTTTGCCGATTCCACATCCTTCGGTATGGCTTTCCTTTTTCTTTGGATAGTCACTAAGTGCCAGTATTTACTAGTGGTTTATTACTGTCATTGATACCTGACAATGATGACCCAAGTCATTGATGACGTCAACATGTTTGTTTGGTTCGCTAATGCAGTTTGTCATGTACTTTCTTCGTAAATTAATTTGCATACTTCTGTCTTGATCGTCGCAGTTTCACGGCCCGAACAAGTAGTCCTGCGAAAGTCCTCCCCAGTGTACATCTTTTCCAGGTGGATATTTGTAGTATCTTTATGCTACTCGCAATTTGAACAGTAACCTAAACACAAATAACTTGCACTTTACCTGTCGTCCGTCCAGGAAGAAGCTATCAAGCGTGATCATCGCAAACTCGGAGTGGAGCAAAAACTATTCTTCTTTCACGAGCTGTCCCCTGGTAGTTGCTTCTTCCTTCCCGCCGGCGCTCACATTTACAACACACTTATCTCGTTTATCCGTTCGGAGTACCGGCGTCGCGGTTTCCAGGAGGTGATTACTCCCAACATTTACAATTCCAGTCTTTGGGAGATTAGTGGACACTGGCAACATTACAGCGTGAGTAATGTATCTGGTATTGTGTACCGCCCTCCGATGTTAACCATATGTGATTTTGGAACCATACTGGGTTGACAGTTATGGATTTGTTTGTCTGTTTGTCTCTCTCGACTTCCCCTGTCTAGGTTTGGGCAACCTGGCAGTATCCCGGCCCTCGTTCTTCCTTCGGGTGGCATTGGAGCTAGGCACAGCTGAACGATTATTATTATTATTATTATTATTATTATTATTATTATTATTATTATTATTATTATTATTATTATTATTATTATTATTATTATTATTATTATTATTATTATTATTATTATTATTATTATTATTATTATTAATGTTTCAACGTTTAGGCTATCTCAGTTTTATACACAGGATATTTTTTCAATTGATCTATTACGGTAATTGGCGTTGTGGTTTGAGACAACCTTTTTGCTGAACGTCATAGATTATGAGAAATACCGTTTTCTCTGGATTGCTTACATTTGACATGTATCGTGTTAATGGGACAGCATTGATAACATGTTCTCGTTTACTTGGTTCCGGAGACATCTTGAATTTGTGGAATTCCCTTTTGACGATCCTTGAAACAGGATTCTATCTCCCCCGTCCATTTCATTTTGATTTTTTCATATATGTTTCATATTTCTCAGGAAAACATGTTCAAAATCGACATTGAGAAACAGCAGTTTGGGCTGAAACCGATGAACTGTCCCGGTCACTGCCTCATGTTCGCCAAAGAGATACGGTCTCATAGGGACCTTCCGTTGCGTTTCGCAGATTTTGGCGTTCTCCATCGAAATGAATTCTCTGGTGCTCTGACCGGTCTGACCCGTGTGCGTCGGTTTCAACAAGATGATGCACACATTTTCTGTCGTGAAGATCAGGTAGGTGCGCTGCCTTCTCATCATTTCCCCCGCTTCAGACCAGTGTGTATTCCGGTGCCACCGTTCATTAACTGACCCGTCATCCGTTGGCATGTATAGCGTTGGTAAATAGACATTCTACAAGGTGTCACGTGATCGTGATACTTACATTATTATGTTTATTATCGTCCAGTGAGCTTAAAACGCCACAGTGTGATCTTGAGCATCACCCACCTTTTCCTGTGAGACGATGTCTCAAACAGATTTGTCCCAATGTTTTAGGATCTGCTCAATGTTTCTGTCAGGGTAGAGTGGGGCGTGGTGCCTCCGGTGGCACCGTTTACTTGGAACATGCTTGTTGGCAGCTTGAGCTCCATGATGATGGTGATAAAAAATCACTTTTCGCTGGATATGTTGGGCGTCATTCCGTCGGTTTTCTTGTGAGCTCCTTAGAATTTTGCTGTTTATTATTCGTAATCGCATATCCTTCTAATTTTTATTTCAGATCAAAGACGAGATCAAGAGTTGCCTGGATTTTCTTAGATGCGTCTACGGAGTGTTCGGTTTCACGTTTGAACTCTACTTATCCACCCGCCCGGAGAAATTCATGGGTGAGCCTGAGTTGTGGGATCGCGCAGAAACGGTGAGCTTTGTTTCTACTTGAAGTGTTTGAACACTACTCACTTTCACGTGGTTCCAAAGCTAGGGCAGTTATCTTATTGACCAAATAACACGTGACTAAATTCAGACAGGTTATAATCCTATGTTACTATCCGGGAGTTTCTTCGGAGATGATACGTTGATTCGAAGTATGCGTTGTAATTTAGTCTTTCGGTGACAATAGGGTAATCTTGGTGCAAGCAGATGCACCATATGTGGGTGAATTTCGGGCTTCGTGTAGAATAAGTAAGATGTGTTCTAAACTTAGGCCCTATATGCAAGCTTCCGTGGCAAGTGCACCATCATAACCCCAAGGCTTGCCCAGTAGCCATCCACCTTTCGATGTCAGTCATTTTGGTTCCAGAACCATCCACTTGGTTGATGTAAGTGGGGTTGGCTGCGTAAGTCCTGGCAGACTAGCGAAAAAGAAATCAGTTCCCGAATTAAGAAGACCAGGACAGCGTCTCCCAACCTCCGACGTTTCTGACGCCCACGCGGTACCAGACCATCAGAATTTTTACTGCTTCTACTAGATTTGTAATATTTCGTGCATGTGTTTGTATTCGACCACTGGTATCTCCGAATCGTTGCGCGTGTCTGGTTGAAACAAATCAGTAGTGTCAATGATTTCGGGAACGTTCATTCTCTCTCGATAGGTCAGCTGGTCACATTCCATAGGTTATGCCGGTTAGACCATGGAGGTCGTGTGTCAGAAGACCATCTACCTAATAGAACCCCCTTCATCCAACCATGGGTAAGATGGCGACTCCTATGGGCGTGACGGTGATACTACTGATGGAAAGGCATGCGAGTAGTATGTTTTCTCGTAAATCCGCTTTGCCCATCTTGAAAAGTGAAATCTATTATGGAATTTGTGGCATTTGCTTGGATCTGAGCAACAGTCAACGAATACCCAGGAAAGTTCAGACAGACGCGTTTAAGCAGAAGATGGATATTACGTGCTGTAAACAAGATGCATATGAGAGTTTTACTTCCCTGTCCAATAGTCTGTAACTGTTCAGTTGGCATTTTCTAATAAATAACTCCTCGGCGAAAGTCTTCTTCCGTTCACGAGTAGTCTCTGGGACTGGAGCCGCGGGTTGGGACAGATATAACCAGGGTTAGTGACCCTGACAGATATGGCAGTGGCACACGGTTAATGGCGGTGTTTCATCAAAGTCATCGCCTTCACTACGTGGCTCTCAAACTCCCTGCGTTACCGGACAAAATAAGCGATTCGATGTCAATGGGCTGGTTGCACCCGCGTCTCCAACCAGTGACTGCCGTTTCCTCAAGCTCACTGTTCTCGATGAACGCAGTTGTGGCAATTGAAATCGCTGCATTTTGGTGTTTAATTCGTAGTTGGAAAGTGCACTGAAATGTAGTGGACCATCAGCTGGAAATAATTAGAGTCATTCCGTCGAAGATGGGGCGAGATAGCTGAGTGGTTAGAGCGTGAATTTACTGACCGGAAGTTCCGACATCTCGACTTCTCCTGTCTAGGCTCGGGCGACTTGGCAGCATCCCAGCCCTCGTGCATGGCAGCCAGGGTGTTTCAGCGAAGAGGTCTCCACTGATCCAACAACTGACATCGTCTGCTCCCACGCCTGGTTTGTTTTATACGTTTTTGATCTTCACCACTGTGCGTAGCCTCCAGAATTGGACATATTGCCTTTTCGTTTGTGTTTTCTGGATCTTTTTGGAGAACTCACGCAGTGGAATATCAAGTTATACCTTTGGGTACCAGTTGCACCTCAGCCAACGGTTTGATTGAGATGCCGAATGTGTAAGGTCTACACTATTTCTCTTGGTGTCACGGTTGAAACTGTTGGCCGCATCACCGTGATTCTGTGCACAGTCTCCACGTAGTCAGCTACCAATGGGGTAACGAAATCTTGCTTGATACATCCAATGAAACACCGTATTTCTGTTGGCCTCCTTTTTTCCAGGTTTCCAATATGATTATCAGACTTGGCCGTTATTTGTTTTCATCAGATGCTGACAGCTGCTTTCCGCCTGATTTGGTCAGATTGATCTAATTGTTGAATAATCGTTGAGTTGCGCTTGGCAGCCTCAAACGAAATTCTGCCCTGCAGCTGTATTCGACTAACTCCATGTTATTCCGATTTCACCCATTGGGACGAGTAATAGGGCTATGTGACAGGCAATTTGCAAACACGATGTAAATATGTGAGAACTTGGGAATTACATCGATAATAAGGAGAAAGAAAACCAAATATATGGCCTGTACAGACGTAACAAACTACTCATGAAGTTACTGAAAACCCTTAGACAGCCCACGACCGGTTTCACTCTTCTTGGGGCTCACTGTGTATGCGCAGTCCCCTAGGTTCCCTCAACCTTATGCTCTACCCGAACCACGGCGCTCCTTGCACCGTGCTAATGGCAGCTTAGCCGGCAGATCCCATGGTTGGGTTTCCTCTTCCATCAGGTGTCCGTTTCATTTAATTAATCAACTGACTGTTTTTTTCACTGTTTCGGGAACAGCAACTGCGGGAGAGCATGGATGAGATGGGTTTGCGATGGGAATTGAATCCGGGCGATGGAGCTTTTTACGGGCCGAAAATCGATATCACCATCATGGATGCCCTGCGCCGTCGACATCAGTGTGCTACTATTCAACTGGATTTCCAAATGCCAACTCGTTTCTCTCTCGTCTATGCCTGGTGGGTTTGTTCAAATTTACTCATATTGATTTGTTTCACCTATTACCACGAACTCGGATGCGATTTTCGTCTTTCATGATGAGCTTGACTAAGATGTGAACTTACTGAGCGAATGGTCTATGGTTCGGGTACTCTAGTCTGGACATCTTGGCAATATCTTATCCCTCTTGCTTTCTTCGGACGGCATGGCATGGCATGGCTGGGTATCCAAAGGGTGTTGCAGCTAACCTATTATTTTATGATGTCATTCTCGCGTTGCTTTCAGGACTGTGGTTTCAGTTGCTTCTTTTCCTTAACCCCGCTTGTATAGCTGTCCCGTTTGTACGGCATTCGTGGACAGACAAACCAAACATTTCCGAATAGTTTCTAGACCTGTTATATTCCCCTCTTATTGGCCTGTAGTGAAACAGATCCTACGTCAACGATGAATGGAGGCGACAGCATCGCACACGTGCCAACCACAAACCATCCAGAGGCTCACCTTCGACGACCAGTTATCATTCATCGGGCGATTTTGGGTTCTGTTGAACGGATTATGGCCATTCTGACAGAATCTTTTGCGGGTAAGTAAGTTGCCTATTCTCAGACACTGTTGTGCATAGTCTTCTCCAGTTGCTGATGAATTTCGAAAGTCGAGTCACTTTTTTAGTCAATTTGGTTTTCGTCAAGCGTTTGTCGGGAGAACACGCTTGTTGCCCTGACCGATGATACAGAGGGGCCTTCCCATTAGGAACGTTTCACTCTGGTTACTTAGGTTTGAAATTGGTAGCCTTTGTGAGACCACTCCCCTGCTCTCAACAAGGGTTACCTCGTGGTCTAGGTTTCCCTTCTAACAAACACCAGGATACCAAGTCCGTGTTTTGGATTTTACTGGGTGAATGCACCAAATAGGCATTTGACCACCCAACCTCGCAATTTTCTGCCACATTAGCCTTCAATATCGCATTCATGTTTCAAAAATATACTGCCAAAGGAGAATTCACTGCGTTGAAGAGGACAGATTAGCATGCCTTGCTTTTCACAACCAGGTGGACCAACCGAAATTCGTTTTAATATTCCACTGGGATGCTGAAACCTGGTAATCCGACGAAAGGTCGAACCCGAGGGACGCAACGATGTCCGAAGATCAGTCACGTGGCACGTTTGTTGTAGACTTTTGATCACCAGTCATGTGGGCTTCTCCACAGCAACGCACGAATGATGTCACTTTGATGAGTAATGAAACGTTTGCAACGAAATTAACTAGATCACCAAATGAACGACGTGCGATCTTCTACATCAAACGGTTGTTCTAATTGTGTGGGAATTCCTGTGTAGGTCAGGCTCAAACTTTTCAGCTCATCAACGCTTAGCGCACGTGTACGACACCTGTTAGGCAGGAATCCACACGGATCCCGTTATACCGCACGTCTTTAGACGCTGCTACGGCCAATAAGCCTGGCCCGCACGAGGTTGGCCCAGAATTCGGGACGCTTGCCGGTCCGGCGTCAAGACGAGATCTGATTGGTCAACAATCTGGACCCAACAGCCAATCATGACCCAGTCAAATGCCGGTTGCCAATGCCGCATCCAGAACGCGACAGAAATTCCAGAAAGTTATAACCGCTTACGCCATATATACGGAGCGCTGCACAACTGTTCTTGACTTCGTTTTGGGCATTAATAGATTTTGTGCACCTTTGGTGGTTGTTTTGACGTGAAGGCTAGCTTGGGAGGCTCAGACCGAGAACTAAGCTGAGGAAATTACCGTTACTACAACACCCATCATTTTATGCATGATATGTAAGTAACAAAGCTGGGGTTGTTGAAGACGACACCCTGTCGAGAATTTAAGTACATCACCCATAAATATTATCCCGCATATCAAATTCATTGGCGTGGTGCTGGTTTCCCACAACATTCCCACGACAAACTACTGACGATGTATCTCTACTATGCACTGACTAATTTGTCAATGTGAAAGACCAAGCGCAGTTTCTTGTGTGACTCGGCCTCTTCCACGGGGGACAACTTTTGGGTTATCCCCTGGAAGCCAATGTAACACAAAGTCTTGTATTGGAATATTGGAATTGGGGATGCCACATCGTGCACGCCGGTGTCACTTATTAACATGTATTTAATATAGTCGCACAGAATTGATACATCTTCAGCTTGCTCCGATTGTCTTCCACTGGACAGTGTGCACAGCGGAGTGAATGCCTTCTTAATGAGATCGTACCCAAGTTCGAACCCGAACGAGAGCGTCTGGTGCAATTTCGATTGGCTTTTGTAAGTTGCTGACCTCCTAACGGAGCCTCACCAACCTTTACAGTTGTGACCGACCGTCTCCCTGGGTGTCGGAGTTGGTTTTTGTACGATCCCTTTGTTGTTATAGAGAGGGACACATTACTAATGTGGTAGATTTGGTGCGTCATGGTGGTGTCATCAAAGTTGAAACACGCATATGCTTCGCGTGCACAGCAGAATAGAGGTGCTCCCTCCAAGAGGGACAGCCATCTAGCTAATACCAGTTATGCTGTTCCCCATGACTGGTCTTTGGTCTTACTTGCTAACAACTCGTAATTTTTCCAGACATGAAGCTTATTTCATTGGTTTGCCGTATCTACAATTGCTCGGGAACAGTCGTTTGTTTGGTATATTGTATTTCGGTCACAAAAACTGTGGTTATTATCACCTTGGCCATGTGTTCCACCCACGGGTGCAGTATTTTTCTAATCTACTTCACTCCTTAATTTGCGTTTGCGAGACACGTTTGCTTCCATTGTTCCCTTATACTCTTGAGTTCCACGCTTGCCTTATGTAGAGGGGCTTCTACTTTTTGTGAAGATCCTAAAATCTATTCACATTATTGTTACACATAAATACTCTATGGTCGTCACCCATCATCCAAGAGCAATACTCAGTGTTGAATTTTCCTAATTTGCCCCACTATCATCCAAATTATAATGCTTACCGAATTGTTCTCTTGGTATTCCTCTATTTCACGTTCCTTTGGCAACCACTCTAGCAGTGTACATACGTCTATTGTGTCAGTAAGCACTCGAGTTCGAACCCTTGCAAACAAATCATCATCATCATCGACAGCATGACATCAGTGTTTAACACCGATGCTTCACTGCCGTACACCTATGATTTATTTGAAAGCCCTATTGTAAAGAAAAGAGT